TAACACACACACACACACACACATAATGAAATACATACTACGTTCTATATTATACACTAATAAATATTTATATGAGAGTCGTATGAACAAACAAAAAACACGCCAGAGCTCTAGTTTATTCTGCAACTTTTGGTTCTCAAGAGGGAACTGTGATCAATATTATTATAACTTCAATTCTGGCACCTCACATCTTACCAACAGCATGTTTGAAGAAATTTGTTAGCGACAAATGCATGAGTTTTTATTTACTGGGATTTTTTGTTTGTGTGGTTCTTTTTTTAGTTGTTGTTTTTTTTTGGTTACTGCTGTTTAGTTTAGTTTGTTTGTTTGTTTGTTTATTTGTTTGTTTGTTTTTAAGTGGGTAACAGAAAAAGCCAAAAAAACTTTCTTCGTTTTGTCCCATATCCTGATCCTGGTGCCAATATTTGTAAGTGAAGTAAAAATGGGATGACATGATGTAAATAGTTATGCTTCAAGAGAAACGAAACACGAAAAAGGTGAATCTGTGACAATGATGATGATTGATGATGGTGATGATAATGATGATGAGATGATGATGGTGATGTTGATGATGATGATGATGATGATGGTAAAACCAAAACAATTATTACTATTATTGAATACAGAGAAAAAACTCAAATTTATCCTTGAGCGAATGTTGACAAAGGTATTTTTTTCTATTCCTCGGAGTAAGAGTACGCAGAGTCTACGCCGTCTTTGTTGTAAAGTGTTGAAAAGAAACCAAAAAAACCCAAAGAAATGCAACGCTCAATAATTAAAAGTGGTCAGAAAATAAAGGGTCTAAACATAGATGTACACTATAGTAGGAGGTAACTCTATGGGTCTAAATCTCATTCCACAAGAAATTAGAGCTCTTCGTGTGATGACAGAGGTCAAGGGAGACTACACTCCAAAGTATTTGAATGAAATGACTGGATGGCTTTAAACCAGAGTTATGGCCCTTAAACAAATTTTACAAACTCGGTACCTTTTTATAATAAATAATTTATCAGGCTTAAAATCCTTAGACTAATACCCCTGAATTTGCCTGATCCCGTCGATTATTCGATTCAAAATATGGAAGTACAACTTTTTCTTTGAACAAAACATGTGATATACGCATATCTAACAGTATTTTGTCACAGGATCTGAGTATCATCAAGTAGCCTACATGTACATGGAAAGTCTATGTTAGCTGACATCAATGGAAAATAAGCATGGCGTTGAGATAGTATAGCTAAATGCTAAATCACATCTAGAAGATCAGATCTAGAAAAATCCATCAGACTGAAGCGTATTGACGGATTTCAGTTCCAACAAAATATGTAGGCTACTGGTAAGACATCGAAATGTATTCACATCATTCGGTCACCCAGACCACTCAGAACAGCGTGGTGATGATGATATGATGATGATGATGATGATGATGATGATGATGATGATGATCATGATGATGATGATGATCATGATGATGATGATGATGATGATCATGATCATGATGATCATGATGATCATGATGATCATGATGATCATGATGATCATGATGATCATGATGATCATGATAGTGATGCCGACGACGATAAATACACATCTGCTTTGGATGACAAAGAAAATCAGATGTCTCACAAATTCAATACAATGAAAGGAACAAATACATTCTTGAGCAAATGTTGACAAAATTATAAAATTGGATCCGGGCAAATGAACACGTCAGGGAAATCAGATTGCATTTTTGATCTTTAAAAAAACCTGAGCCTGGTTAACAGATTTGGGGGTTTTTTCTCCCCATTTTAATACATGTATCTGCAATGCAGAATACGATTACATACACTGGTGGATTCATTTTTAGGCCCATAAGGTCAGAATGCAAAAACTGGAACCAACATTCTTCGTGTGAAAACGGACAATACTTACGGCAAATTATAAGCAAATTCCAGGTTTAAAACCATAGACACAAGGCTCATAAAAGTAGAACCAAATGGAAAAAAAAAATAATAAATCCACAGACAGGAGGAAGAGGCTACAACTACACAGCACCTAGACACGAATGGCTGGTGCCTCAATAAATACATTACTGATGGTCAGGTCAGGTCATGTGAGAACAGAGAATCAGTCTTTCAGAAATCAGAAGATCCAAAACAACGTCTCTTCGTCTTTATGTTTGTCCTCAGCGAAACCTTACGGGTTATTCCACGGTAACTGATGGGACATTTGGACAATACTTTCTTATAATGATAACACTGTAATTCAATATCAATTATTAATCTGTTTCAACTTTAAATTATCTGAAGATTTGAAAGGCATTAATAAAAATCATATTAAATTCAGTTATTTGAAATTAAGTACTCTATGCAAATTCTGTGATGTTTTTAGTTTCGGTAACCGGTGGGTCCAGAAAAAAAAAACCCAAAAACAACCTCTTTAATCTGTCCCCGTCGTTTTAAGCAAGAAAAATAAATTCTTAAATTATGCAAACTGAGCCCGAACATGTGAAATTATGCGATTCTGTTAATTTTAACAAAGAATGATAAAGGAAAATAATCAGAAATTATGCAAATAATGGTCAAATTTTGCTAAATTATGCGGGGGCCATAAAGCCACGGGAACAGATTAATTGTCCCGTCAGTTATCGTAGAATAGTCCTTACATGCTTGTGAATACTTGTGGTGTCTGTGGTGTCACTACCGGTTTTAAAGAAAATTTTTGGTCTCATTTAACACAAAAAAAGAGAAATTATTTGGTTTCTTTAAAAATGAAAATATTACATTTTAAAAAAGGTATTTTAAGCCCCCATCAATACAATCTAGACCATTTCGGAGGTGGACTTCGACTGTGCCAGCCAGGGCTGATAGGGAAACAACACCTAGCAGAA